ATCATCCACAATGTAGTCTGTGAATATTTTCAAAGATTTCAGCCACTGTACCACCCTAAAATGTATGATAGCCCTCAGATCTGCTGTTCCTCTCTGAGTTTCTGAGAATATCMYRGAGTTTCTTTCTTCCCACAGTGTCCAACATACTGCAGCCCTTAGTCCTCTCCACATTGTCCTGCAGCCCTTAGTCCTCTCTGAGTTTATTTTCTTCTTTTTTCTTGCCTAAATTGCTATTTGACTTGTTTTGCTGATGTTTTGTGTAGCTTTTTTCAAATGGGATGAGAGAATCAGAGCAGCGACATGTAACATTGAGAATCAATGTCTCTGGTGAGAAGACAAATAAAATTTTTGCTGTATCAGTATGAAAATATAGAAACAAAGGTAGATAAAGTAACCTCACCAAAGTACCTTTTCCTTTCCCGGACAGAGGAAGCTGCACTCATGGAGCTCCTGAATTTCATGTATAGCAATACACTGACAACAACCACAGCTCCTGCCTTGTTGGATGTGCTGATGGCTGCTGACAAATTTGAAGTTGCTTCTTGCATGAGGTACTGCAGCCGGTTGCTACGGAACTTGCCCATGACACCAGAATCAGCCTTGCTTTATCTGGAGCTTCCTTCAAGTGTTTTGATGGCTGAAGCAGTTCAGCCACTGACTGATGCAGCCAAGCAATACCTTGCTGCACGTTACAAAGATATAACCAAGTGAGTTCCTTTTTACAAAAATATAAAGTTACACACCACAGCAAACATACCCAAGTCTTGCTACATGTGGTCTGAGATTTTGGATGACGTTTTACTTAGCTTGTTTGCTTACAAACAAATTAATTCCCCGTTGTATTACTTATTTTGATAAGGCATGATCCATATGCTTTCGTCCATTTAGGATACAAATTAAGAGGGTTTTCTACAACATGATTGCTTTTGTTTTCATTTGATTTTGAAATCGCCACACCAGCAAAAAACAAAAACACATTCTTGAACTCGAGAAAAAAAAATGGTTATGTTTAGGAAAACAATACATGTCTTTGAAACCATCAAAATAACAGTTTTTAAAATAAAAATACAATTTTTGTGCAGAAATTATACGACTTATAGAACATGATATTAAATAACCAGGTGAAAACATATTCTTTAAACCAGAAATCCGAACTCATTTTTTCTTTTAGTTTTTGAAACAAAAAACATTCGTAACCAGGTACATGTTTTCTGTGTTCTTGTTTTATTATTTTGAAACCAGCTGGTTTTGTTTTGTTTATGAACTCGAATTGGACCCCCCCCCCCCCCAACGAATTTTAGATCTTGTATCTGGCATATGAGATCCGACTACTACAAGCGTGTTTTGTCCACAGGTTCCAAGATGAGGTGTTGAATTTGCCCCTAGCAGGAATTGAGGCAGTGTTGTCCAGTGATGATCTACAGGTGGCATCAGAAGATGCGGTCTACGACTTTGTTCTCAAATGGGCACGGGCGCAATACCCAAAGCTGGAGGAGCGGCGGGAGATTCTTGGATCACGCCTACTGCGACTGATCCGATTTCCTCACATGACATGCCGTAAGTTGAAGAAGGTTCTTAGCTGTAATGATTTTGATCATGAGATTGCATCCAAGGTTGTGCTTGAAGCACTGTTCTTCAAGGCTGAAGCTCCACACAGGCAACGAAGTCTTGCTGCAGAGGAATCAACAGCCGTAAGTCGTCGCTTCATTGAGAGGGCTTATAAGTATCGTCCTGTCAAGGTTGTGGAGTTTGAACTGCCGAGACAACAGTGCGTGGTATACTTGGACCTGAAGCGGGAGGAGTGTTTAAATCTGTTTCCATCAGGGAGGGTTTATTCACAAGCCTTTCACTTGGGTGGACAAGGGTTCTTCTTATCTGCCCACTGCAATATGGACCAACAAAGTTCATTCCACTGCTTTGGATTGTTTTTGGGGATGCAAGAGAAGGGGTCAGTGAGCTTTGCAGTGGACTATGAGTTTGCAGCAAGGTCAAAGCCAACAGAGGAGTATGTGAGCAAATACAAAGGCAACTACACATTCACCGGGGGCAAAGCAGTGGGCTACCGGAACTTGTTTGCCATACCATGGACAGCTTTTGTGGCTGAGGACAGCCTTTACTTCATTAACGGCATTCTTCACCTTAGGGCGGAGCTTACCATCAAACACTAACAACCCCCTTCCTCCATATTTCCGGCAGGCAGGTATAGTAAAACACCATGGTCCATGGGAGTTCTAAAGAAAAATGTACATTTGTTTTATGGAGCGAGCGAGGCATTATTGAGTCGTTAGCCATGAATGTTGAATTTCCCAAATCTCAACATTTTTTGTCTTTGTTTTTGGTAAATATTAAATCATTAGGCTATGTTTGGTTTGAAGGAAAATGTAGGGAAAAGAAAGGAAAAATAGGGAAACCTATACAAGATTTGTGAAGGTTTCCCTAACTTTCCTTTCCTTTTCCTACTTTTTCCTTCAAACCAAAATACTTTATCATCACGTTGGGTGCCAGTGCCACGGCACGGCCGGAAAAAAAACGGTGTGCCAAGAAACACAAGCTTATTTGGTCCCTTCCATTTTTCTGGAAAACGCCTCCTAATTTGGTAATGCGTGCGTGTCCGAGAAAAATGTCAAATTGAACGTTTTCCCGTTTTTTCATCCATTGTTACCAATGGCTACATGTCGTGTCTGCTGGTGTGGTGTCAATAAGATCTACACCATCACTGCCGGTGCCGGTGTCATTTGAACAAAGTATTACTTGTTTCAGCGTGCCCTCTATTTGCCTATGTGGTAGCATCAATTTCAAATAGAAAAAAAAAGAACAGTTTCTCAGGAAAACAGTTCAACAGACCTCATCCATACAGTACCCTTTTCTCAGAAAATGACTTGAGGAAATTACATCGATGCCAAACACCAGCTTAAACATCAGTTAAGATGCGGGTTTCTTTTCAGCTTTAAATCATTATTTTTCAAAAACACTTGAACTGGTCGATGATCCGTCAACCTCTGAGTTGGCTTGATTTAAGCATCTGTTTATCAGCTTTAAACCAAACAGTGTTAGCTTGGTTTAAGCATCTCATTGTTACTTCATCCGATCACTGCCTGTTACTTTTAAATATGTGGGATAAGCATGCACCACGGAAAAAAAAAAGTTTTAAATTCTAAGCAATGTGGACTAGATATGATGAATTAATGGATGTGGTCAGTAATAGTTGGGAGGCTCCATTGCCATGGCGGGAGTCAGCAGGGAAGCGGGTGTGAAGGAAAATTAAAAAGGTGAGGTCAGCCTTGAGTAATTGGAATAGAAGAACCTTCTCCGCAATGAGATAGCTGCCTTACATCAACGAACTCCATATGAAGCTAATCTGCAGAGAGGAAGAATTAGGGACACAAATTGATGAAATATTGGCTCATGAAAAGTTGTTTTGGAAGCAGCGGTCTAGAGACTCGGTCGAGGGAAGGTGATCGTAACACGAAGTTTTTTCATCCATCCACTTTAGTGAATCGACGACGTTTTACTATAGATGGATTCAAGGAGGATGGAGGTTAGGAGGAGGATGTAGAGCACATAAAGACTGTTTGTGGGATTACTTTTTAGCCATTTTCTCATCTTTACATCCTGTGTTGTCTCCCACAATTCAGAATCTAGTGCAACCACTAATCACTGAAACAGACAATGATCTCTTATCCCAAGCTCCTACACCAAGGGAAATGCGAGAAGTTGTCTTCCAATTAGGCCCCATGAAGGCACCTGGCCCATACAGTATCAGTATGTCCGCTTTATTCTTTCAAAAATCCAAGTCTTTAATTAGTCCTGATGTAGTTCAAATTATTCAATCATTATTTTTTGGGGACACTCCAGTTAGAATCAGAAACTAATTTCACTAATATCGTTTTCCTACCTAAAGTGAAGCACCCAGAATTTATATAAAATGTTATTGAAATGCTTAGAACAGTGATTGACAAGTTAATCTTACCCTGGCAAGCAGCCTTCATACCGGGGAGACAAATCATAGACAATGTTATTGTTGGACAAGAAGTGGTACACTATATGAAGCAGAAGAAGGGGAAGCATGGTGTTTTTGCCTTGGAAATGGATATGGCAAAGTCATGTAACAAGGGGAAGCATGCTGCTCGAGATTCACCGGACTCTGCCGTCGCCAGTCACTCTCACTCTCTCCCTTTCCATCCGGTGGTGATTAACAGCCATCACCGGCCACCCCCTCAGGTATTTTGGACTCTGCCCTGATAGAATCCGGACTGCTATCACCGGCGACTGATAGAAGCCGGATTCCTGTCAACGGTAATCATTCAGATTCGCCTACCCTTCCTGAACCAGCAAGAATGGAGGATTCTATGGACAAAGGAGTCCGATGAGAGAAGAGATGGCCACCGGAAACAAGAAGAAGTGGAGGTGCCATCGTCGTTGTCTTGTGTTTTCTCACTCTGCCGCTCGGGGAGTCGGTTTCAACTTCAATCTGGAGAATGTCGTCCGCGGCCGACTGTATCACAAGCGAAGTTGGATGCTCGGAAACGCGCAAGAAGAGCTTCCTTTCCCTGAACCAGATGGAACGGAAGGAAATTGAAACAAACCCAGATTAACAAAAACTGGATGCATGAAAGAAAGAAAGTGATATAGAACTAATGAAAACCCAAATAAAAAAAAAAATGAAGAAAGTGCTTAATGTGTAAAGAAAAAGATGGAAAGAAGATGCTCACCTAGATCTTAGCTTGGCGAATTTCATAGACCTTCTTCGATTCAAACCTGTTCCATTTGTAATTATTGAACGATTTGTAGAACCTTTCTGCTGCAACGCTACTGGTGAAATTCACAAAAGCGTAACCCAGATTGTTCCCAAGCCCGAGGAGTGGAGGGAGAAGAAAAATCTACAAATATCAACCTCCGAAACAAAGGGTTACTGGTGTTTTTCTTTCTTTTCTTGTTACAGAAAAAACACAGCAGAAGAAACAGAAAAGAAGATGAGAAGATTACCAGAAATCCATGGGCAGGTACACAAAGTCGTATTTAGAGAGACACGAGTCCAACCCCAACTGGGCTTTCTCGTTCTCCTCAGCACAGTGCTTGTCAAGTAAGCCCAGGTGCCCAGCAACATCTCCCTACTGACATGAAGTACAGATAAGTTCAGAAGAAAAAACAAAACAAACGCAACAGAGAGAAAAAGTGTGTGTAGATTAATGAAGAAATACAAACAGGATTCGAGGTCTTTTGCAAGCAACGATCATTTAAATTCCAAAACTGGGACTTTGATAACGTAAATATTTTACAAGAGAAAAAATGCATCCATGCATCCCGCTGTGGGAGTGGGAGGAGTTGAACGGAGATTATCTGCAGTCTCCAGCTTTGAACATGAACGGCCGCTTTCCTCCACCTTATCAGCCTTTGGTCTCCAAATCCACCTACAGCTACTCTTCTCTCGGAAACCCCCACCAGAAGGGCCGTCTGTATGACCCCTTAAATCTCACTGGAAAAAACCTTCTTGAAATACCGCCACTTTTCACCTCCATGCTCTTAATCTGGTTCTCTGCAGCAATGGTGGAGCTTGCGTCAGTGGGAAAATGCAATGCCGGTCGTGGCAACAGTGGAGGTGGAGGACAGTAGTAAAAGTTGCATGGTCGTCAGTACTGATGGCCTGAAACTGGGTAAAATGGATGAAAAAATAGAGGCCCAAAGGCCCCAAACGGTGGTAGCTGCGGTGGAAGAGTTGGAACCACCGTTGCCATCTTTGGTGCTGGTGGATAGAACAGAGGAAGAGATGGGCTTTTCAACTTGTAGGGCCTGGCGTCTGGGTTCAACATTTTTGGTTGAGAAATAGAGATGAGAGAGAGAGAGAAATATACAAGAGGAAGGAAAGGAGTTTGGCTTCAGTCCAGGCATGCTATATACGCCATGAAGCCAAGGAAAGGGGTTTTGGCGGAAAGAGTACAAACAGAAATAGAAATATGTAGAGTATACAAAATACAAGGTTTTCTACTCTACAATCTGCATTTCTTTGTAAATAGAATCCTCCATTCTTGCTTGTTCAGCATGGGTAGGCGAATCTGAACTCTGATTACCGTTAAGAAGAGTCCGTCTTTTATCAGTCATCGGTGATAACAGTCCAGCTTCTATCAGGGCAGAGTCCAATAACACTTGAGGTTTTCCTTCGGTTGCCGGTGTTAACAGTCGCCGGCGATGACTGTTGGTCGCCGTCGGTTGGAGAAGGAGAGAGTGAGAGTGACTAGTGAGGGCAGAGTCCGATGAGTCTCGAGCGAGAAGTAGGATGGATAAATGAGAAGGCAGAGAAGCCAACGGCATAAAGGATAAATTCCGTTAATTCATTTCGCACGTATTAAGCCAACGCACGAATCAAAAGACGCGTGGCGCGTCCTCGTGCTGCGCGAACGGTGCGCGTATATAGCATGTCTGGACTGAAACCGAACTCGTCGAAAGGTGGCATTCGATATTCGATAGAAGCAAATTCCAAATCAGTAGTGGCGAACTGGCGATGGATGTTGAGACAGTGGAGATGCAGATTGTAAATTCGTTCCTCGACATACAATTATACAAAAAAAAAACACATGCTTATATTTAATAATTTTAACTATTTCAAATAATAATATTCAAAATAATATTTTATAAATTAATATAACAAATAATTAATAATTTATTGAATCCATTTTTATATAAAAAGATGATTTTTTAATATCAATAAAATTATACAGATAAAATATTAATAACAAAATAATTACTTTAATATTTAACTTGCACATGATGCACATCTTAAATATTTTTATATATTTTTATAAATTATTAATTAATATTTTAATTTACATTAATAAATAATAATAATATATTTATTATTTATAAAAAATAAAAATATTATTTACAAAATATTAAATTGAATCTATCAAATCCATTAATCTATATTTATATAAAATATATAATATATATAAATATACATAAAAAATATATATAAATATATGTATATCAGTCGATTTTTTTTTCCAGTTTTTCTTGCTGACCCCCTACTGGTATTTGATGCTAGTAAATCCATTGTGATTGGAAATCGAACCCTATCGTGGGAAATAAAGTTTAAGTCTTTATTTTTTGTTTATTATTATTATTTCATTTTCATTGTTTTAATTCAAGCAATCAGGATCACAAAAATCCATCCATCTAATTCTGTCCAGCAATCCAGAAAACCAGTCAAATTTATTTCGAACAGGATCTACACCTTGTTAAATGCCGATTTATGCTACCAGGAAGATCATGAGTCAATCCAGAATGGTTGATCCCCAAACTTGATTACCTGTTTTATAAAGAGAGGTATCAATCATGCCATTATCATAATTCATATCAGTATTTTTTTTTTTTAATTCGTGCATACTCGGATTGACCGGTGGTTTATCAGTTCTGGTTCACAATTCACAAAGAAGCTGATGTTAATAAGTAGCCAAGTTTCAATACATAATTCATGGTATTTTGGACTAGTGCCACTTTGGTCCCCAAATCAGTCGCTGAACTTTTAAAATGTGTAGTCCAATATCTATGGTTAGTATCTCCGTTAAATGATATTTGAAAAGACACAAATGCCCTTTAAATATCATCTAATTTTTTTATCAACCACTTAAATGTTAATAAAAAATAAATAATTCCAAATCCTTGCCTCTTCTATTCAAAAAAAATTGAAATTACATCTCAGTAAACATAATCCCAACTTTCTTGAATAGAAAAGGCAAGGATTTGAAATTATTTATTTTTTGTCAACATTTGGATAATTAATAAAGAAAATTAGATAACATTCAAAGAGCATGTATCTTTTCAAATGTCACTTAACTGGTTAACAGACTGGTTAAGGACAACAGGCTGATTAACAACAGGTACTGAATTGGCATATTTTAAAAGTTCAAATACTGAATTGTCATGTTTTAAAATTCAGGGACCAAAATGACATTAAGTACAGGGTATTAATCGGAAATTTTCCTTTACAAATATGTAAAATGCAAAACTTTGTATTTTGTATGTATTTGTACTCTATATATTTGTATTTATACTCCTTCCAAACTGAGCCTTAATAAAAAATTGTTAATTACAATAAAAGGGGAAGTAAACTGTCTTAACTCAAGAAAAAAAAAAAAAAAACGAGTGAGTTTAGCACTTCTCTTTACCCAATTATATTTCACCTCAATGTCCCTTGTCAGCCACTTATTGGTCCACATACTAGAGTTGTCTTCCTCCGAGTCACCTTCTGATGTTGTAACTCTATTCAATTCCCTTGCTCTTTGGGCACCTTTGAGGGCTGCAATCCTTGCAGAACTAAGAGAGTCACCATCCGCAATAGGGCCTGAGAACAAGGCAAGAATAAGCCCTTCCTCATCCCTGAAAGCTCCGCCTATACCACCTGCGTTCCCAAAACAACTGCCATCTCAAGCTGCATTTTTAATCAGATAGAAGTCATAGAACCACTGAAATGTCATTACAAATACAATCCAGGGTGATCTAGACCAAGAGAAATATTAAAGCAGTGCTAGAAGAAATTGAAAGCCATGCCCTATGTATGCCTTGGACATGATAGCAGAAAGGGAGGCCAGAATTGATGAACAATCATGGTCACAGATAAACCACCAAAGAATTCCTCCTACCCCCAACCCAATCCCACCCCACCCAAAAACAAGGGCCAAGGGTACAAGTACAAGACAAACAGCTTTGTTCCCCCCTCCCCGCTCTCTATGGCCTTCCTCCAAGTGCAGAAGATGAGTCAAATTTCTAGAGCTAAGATCATAAAAGGAAAAACTTCTCAACTGATTGCTACAAGATGCTTTTTCTTTTCCTTTTTTGATTGGTAAGTCACTATTACATCAAATTCCTAATACAGAAACTTCTACATTAAACTGCAAAGCTTCAACTGTTATGGTAAAAGCTAGACGCAATATATGGCTTTTGAGATTAGAGTATCCAATTAACAATCTATCATTCAAAGGCAACTTCTAGTTGGTCATCAAATCTCAATCCATTCTTGTACTTTATCCAATCAACTTGCTCTTCCATACATGTTCTAAAACAACAATCACTGGTGCCGGATGTATCTGAACAGAGTAACAGCTCCTACTAATCTAGGAGTTGAGTCATGTTAGAGACATCGTTCTGTGTTCTAGTCTGCAGACAGTCCAAAATCACTCAAAGCCGGAAAAGCATGACTGAAGATTATTACCATCTCATTATCATCGTTGCAACCAGAGCCTAACCCAAGCTACAATTTTAAAATTTGCACCCTGGGCTCAGTTTGGGAAGAGTGCATGCAAGGTTTAGCAGTGAATATATTTCTATTTGCACTCTTCCAAAACTGAGCTTAGGGTTCATCATACAGAACCACAGAAAATTGGTTTATCTATGAAGCAGAGAATATACTTGTTTATGCACCGATCGAGCAAGTACACGATGGAGGGGGAATTGAGAGGGGAACAGGGAAGATTTAATTAAAAAAATTCATTCAATTGGAAGCCAAAAGATGGGAACAAAAAAAAAAAGAAAATTAAGAGTGTCGTATTCATACATTAAGCATGCAAAAAACCAAGGAGCCCTAATCCACAAACCATATAAAATCCACAGTATATAGATTTTTTGCTCAAATTACAACTACATATTTCGTAGCAAAAGGAAGATTAAAAGAAAATAAAACAGAAGAAATTGAAAAAGGGCAATAGATTATAGATGCAGAGAAACCCAGAAAAAAATCTCAAACCCTCGTGCGACTTCCGGTGGGAGGGACTAGATCTTATCGATATCCTCGTCCTCAAACTCGATGTAATCATCGGCGGCTCCCTCATCTTCCTCATCGAGACCGGCAGCGATGCCTTCATTGAGCCTGGTATTCTCAGGCAACTCGCCGTAGGCCTTCAAGAGCCTGGCCTCGTCGGGCATGTACTTGAGGATGACATCGGCTTTGTCGTCCTGGTAATCCCTCAAACCGACCAATATAATATCGCCGGCAGCGATCCAGACCTTCTTGTGCATCTTTCCTCGTATGTGACAGAGTCGCTTGGTGCCGTCGATGCACATGGCCTCGCAACGGCCGTTCCCGAGCATCCGAAGAACCTGAGCGTACTCCTGGCCATCCTCTTTGAAGACAAGCTCTCTCTTCTCGTCGTCCGCCTCGTTCTTCCCTCTCTTGCGATTCTTACCTCCCTTTCCCTTGTTCTTCGGCATCTTCCCAACTGCTGTTGTTCTCTATGGACTATTGGCAAGCCAAACCCAAACCCTAAGTCGCCCTTTTCCTCCTTCAGCAATCAGACAGAAACCCCAATCCAAATCCAAGAGGCTCAGATGGAAAGATGGATAGATTTATTTTCTCTCTCCGTCTCGACTCAACCCTAAATTCTAATACGTTGGCAGGCAGACGAGAATAGAGATGACTATTCTATTCTCCATCTTATGTAGCGGATGCTTTTCCGAGTTAGCGTCGAAGCTACGAGGGTCGCGGATTTGGAATGAAGCTTGAAAGGACAGATATACCCTTATTGCTTGAGAGTAAGTATCCAGACTCCAGAATCGGAATATTTGTATTGTACATTTGTACCCCTCGGCGCGAGAGGGATATTTGTCTGTCTATGTCTGTAGCCTGAGCTGTCCACATACCACGTTACTCAAGCAACAATGAGAGTATGGAAGACAAATCTTGAGTGTATGAATTAACGTGTCGCATAAGAGAGCCTCGTGGACAGCAATAGGCTATTCATCGTCGAGATAGCGAAATATCTCGTCGTGGGCCTGGCGCCCAGTTACGGAAGCCAACGGATCGGATTGGATTCCGACATCAGATTCAAACATATCAAAATCCCATATAATTCAAAGATTCAAATTTTTCTACTAGAATGGGATTAATTCATTAAAGCAGACTTAATACAAGAAAGAGCCACGGATATTGTATGGAACAATTTGGATTCGAATACATTTAGGAAATATATGGATATGAACAAAAAAAATAAAAATAGATGAATACGTTAGAAAAATACATACAAATTATACAAATACATTAATAATACTAAATTTAAGACCAAAATAGTCATAAATAGTATATAAATACATAAAAATATATATTTTAATAGTGCATATGAAAAAATATATTACAATTAACATATCGAGATGCCTAAATATCATATAATTTTATTTATAATGCATTAATCAAGAGTCCAAGACACTAAACACATGTGCATATATTTTAATTATTACATCAGTTATTTTTTTACTATTTTAATTTTTTAACATTAACAAAAAACAACTAAATATTAAATTCTCAAATGCAAATTAAAATACTAATTAATAATTCACAAAAATATAATATTAACTTAAAGTATATCAAATTTGTTAAAATTTATAAGATACATATCCTATACAAATTCATAGATTTTAATTACTAAACTAATTATTATGGTTAATATTTTATTTCTATAAATAATTTGAAATAAATTTTTTTTGAAATTTTCTATATATTATAAATTAATAAATATGCATTATATATAAATATATATTTATAATATATAATATATAATATATTATTTATTATTTAAATATAATATTATATTATAATATAAATTGTAAATAATAAAAAACCGACAAATCAACGAATTAAACTTATGGTTAACTGAATCGGTCAACCGATTAACCAATTATTTGATTACCAGTTTTCCCCGATTCTGTTTCAAAAACCAAACCGTGAACACCTCTAACGACAAGAGGCGAAACTTTGACAGAAACGACATTGATTGAAGCTGAGATGAGGATGAAAGGTTTCTGCTCGAATCAGACGAAGAAAAGAAAGCAAAGTTGGTTTATATCAGTGACTGAACCAATGTGTTATGCAAATATGCAGTGAGAGGCTGAGAGCCGTGATGGCAGCCAAAGCCCTCAAAGGTAGACAGCCAAAGATTTTTTGGAATTATCCATTGTAAATACTAACAGGACAATTCTATAACGCATAATGTCGAAAGTCGAAACTTTTGCCTCAACTCATTCTAACACAATCCTCCAATGTTTACATCGATCCAACCCAATCAAATCGGATTCAATTTGATACTGGCCCGCAATCTTTTAATTATATTTTTAACACATTTTGAAATTTTAAAAATTAAAGAAATTGTCTAAAATTCACCATCACTTTTTCTGAATTCTCTTAAATCCATCACTAACTTTTTGAAACGTTCAAAACTCACCATGTCAGTGAGATAACGGTAATTTGACTAACGGACAGCGTTAATTTACCATTTACCCTTCATTATATTCGGTCCATTTTGCGATATATCAAAATTACCCTGTCAATCTTCAACCCAAAACCCAAGCATTAGCCGATACTTTCTTTCTCCATTGGCCGCTGCTTCCCCTTCGTTTGAGAACTTGAAGAAGAACGGGATGCGTCTGAGAAGAAGAACAATCCGCAACTTCTCACCAGTTGCTACTTCTCTCGTACCTTCGTCTGAGAAGAAAAACAGTCGGATGCTCATGAAGATTGTTCCCATCGTCTAAGAAAAAGAGCAGTCGGAGTACAGTCCGTAACTTCTCACTGGTTGTTGCTTCTCTCATCGTCTGAGAAGAAAAAAGGTGGACTATTGCCTCTCTCATCATGGATATTGACTTTTTTCCTAATTCATCTTTGATAAATGTAACTCTGATTTCACGAGAAGGAATTCGAGTTGCAGGGAAGGACTAACGTCTCCCCGAGTTTCCTATGAGCAAAAAGAGAATGAAGAAGATCACAACTTTAAGCTGGTGAGGGCAAGGTCGCCATCGGTTTCAAAGGGATCAAAGAATTCCATGGCTCCGACCATTTCTGCATCGTTCAAGGTGAACCCATCACCGAGAAAGAAGTGTTGACTGAGAGAAACGAGGCTGTTAGAATTTCCACTTTGTTCTCTGATGGAAAATCCCCTCTTACTTGCATAGATCTATCGGAATCTATGGAAGAGACTGGTACAAAGTTGGACGCAATTTTTCATTCTCAATTAGTCAGTTATGTTTAGAATGCAAAAGCAAATCAGAGACATTACGTGAACCAGTCATTGCAAACTCTGATTGCAACCTCATGCTACCTCCTTTGTTTTTGAACCTCTCAAAAGCACTACTACACCAAAAGCCAATAGTTCATCGATTCCAGGAAATCTACCCCCTACCTCAACAATTAGGTCTCTAAACTTTGTAGCAGGGGAAGAGATTGGTGTAGAACCAAATGACCTTCTCAATTCCCAGGAACCCTTAGAAACCCAGACACATACACCATTAAGATTCCTTCATAGATTTTTCCTTCATCTGACAAACCCAACTCGGTAACATTGTGCTTTAGAGAACTACCAAAGCCATGGTTGTCTACCATCTTCATCAATGAACCAACATCAAAATCTGCCTTGCTGGAATTCCCAAAAGGTTCCTTCACATGATTTTTCTCAAGTAATTGTACAGGAGTTCCTGATTACCTTTTGGCTGCCTAACCTTCTGAACTTGCTCAATTGGAGATGTTGCAAATGAACGAAACATCTCCAGGCTTTCCATGACCTTTCTTGTGGGAATAACTGGCTCACCAATCGTATTATTAGGGATGCTCTCACTCGTCTTTTCCTACAATCTCTTGCTTTGCTCAGAAAGAGAACTCTGTTTCTACAATCTCATCCCCTGAACACTAAAATCTTCCACTTTAATAGAAAAACCTCCAAATCAGAAGACACCAGTTCTTTCTTCCCTACTTCCTCTATTTTTCAAGGGAAAGACCTCCATCAAGATTGAGAAGCCAAGAAACTATCGTCAAAGATCTTATACTGAGATTCAAATGCTGCAAGGTTTGCTGTTTTAGTGCTGCTTCCAACGTATCACTTTTTCTAATAGAAAAAGAAAGAAAATCAAAACCAACTTGTAAAAAAATCCCAAACTTTGCAAGGTACCAACTAACTAGTTGGTAAGCCACTTGGGTTGGGGGATGGTCTACCCCCGTTCTGTAGTCCTCAAATGAAATCCAAAAGAAAAATCCCAAACTTCAGTGCTAAAGGCTAATGGAGTTAGAAATGAAGTTACAAGAACACCATATACATGAAGGGATATCATGATCCAGCGGGGTGAATAATCAATCATAAATCAAACCCAACCCGACCCCAATTCCGATTAAAGAATCAAAATCCTAATATGACCCTAACCCGACCCATTATTGCCTCGCCCAACATGTAGTGGCAAATGGGTGGGTAGGGTGTGGGTTGAGTACCAAACCACACCCATTTGACCTATTAACCCTTTTGCCACCATGTTTAGTGGGTCCAAGTGGATTATGTGAATCACTCTAACCCTGACCACCCTAACCCACCCATTTGACCTGCTAATTCACATTTTTCAACCAAAAAACCATACAAAGTTCAATTTTTCAAATAGCATAAAAGCACAAAAAAATGGTAATAAAAATACGTTTCAAAAACACAAAGACTTGGGGTGAGAGAGGCTCGAACTCTCGACCTCAGGATAATTCTAAAGCTATGAGACCTACGCGCTAGCCAACTGCGCCACCACCCCACTGTATATTAGTTTTAAAATAAATTAATCCTCATATCCAAAACTCTCATCTCATGCCAATTATCAACCCGGTTTTAATCCAATTATTTCCTTTTTTTAATTTTTTTTCTTGAAAGATCATCCAAAACTAAGGGTCCGTTTGATTCACAGTCGGAATCAGAATTGGAATGGTCCATTCCCATAATTTGTTTGGTTCAGATAGGAATGAGAATATGAATTAAAATCAGCAGGAATGAAATTTCAGGCCATTCCCTCAAATGGGGGAATGCCATTCCAGCAGGAATGGGAATGGGATTCTGATTCTGCCCAACCAAACAGTGGGTATTGGAATAGCCCATTCCGGTTCCGATTCCAGATCCTATTCCCGTGAACCAAACGGGGCCTAAAACCTAGATTAAACCATAAGATTAATAATCACCCAAAAATTCAAATCGTCAATCCGAGAAAATGCAAATGCAGTATCCCCATGGATTGCCACTTTTTGTAGTATGTTTAATTTGTGCTCTGTGACAGTCCCATTTCTCTAGCACGTCAGTTTTTAACATGGTGGTGAAATTAGAATGCTAATCCGGGTTGATGGTAAACCTTCTCAGCCTCAACCAACAAACAAGCTTTGGAATTATTTCTGAAGAAAACCACCAGCTGTCACTCCAAGAAGAAACTAGCTGGTTGGTACAAAGCTAAAAGAAAACAAAGAGAACTGCGCTTACAGTACAAGATTCAAAGGCCTCTTACATAAGAGATCTAGAAAGAACCATTTTGAAACAACGAGCCAAACTATGTAGGATAAGCTTTGTCATTCAACTTATCTGCCTTTCTATTCACTCCCAGCAATCTTTTTCTTCAAGGCCTCAATATCTGAAGCTAGTTCCTTTCTGCTTGACTGAAAATACATGTACATTTGTTAAAATATATTTGCAAAACCAGCATTATAGACATTAACTTGTATTGTCAATTAAGAAAATAATATTTATCAATTGTCAAGGTGAGATATTATGTCAGCAACCCTGGGTTCTTGGAATATATTCCCATGAGAAAACAAAATTTTGTTGCCCAAACAGCATTCACAACATCCACAGTATTTTGACTCCATATTAATATAGTAGGCCTGGTTATTCTGCTATCGGACCAGGACTCTAGATTCATTAAAACACTAAATGGAAGAGTCTGTTGCTTGACTGATGGAGTCATGGACACTTGGAATCATCACAATGAGACTGCTCCACAAATTTAGTAGTGGAATCAACTCGAGTCAGCAAGCAATGCCTGTAGGTATGTTGATCATATTGAGTGATAAATGATCCAAGTTTTATAATCCATGCTCGTAAATTAGAAGCATTTTCTACCAGATGTCTCACAGTCGACGGACCGGTGTTTCAGTTTAACATTCTTACCTTAAAGAGAAGGTATCGGTATACAAACCAACCAGTGTATCCTAGGCCTACCAATTCCATGATCTTTGGAAGCTGTTAACAGAAAAAGAACCGAGTCTGTAATTCATGCAACATCCAGAAACAAGAAGTAATATAACACTTTATTTCAATTGAAAAGGCAAAAAAAATACATACCAAAGGAACTGAATTGATGGCACCAACCACAATGGAAGATAGCCAAACTGCAACTATAGCCCCACCTCCATAAAGTAGTACTGTCGACTTGTTTTCAAGAGCATCCCACTTTAAATGGCAACAAAAAAGAAGCATAATTTCAGAATCGAGTAAAGAATATATTAGTAGGAAAAAGATGGATTAATATACTAGGACTGTCAAAGCCAACCAATAGTAGTTCCAACCTCACATGATCAAATGTGATTCAGGGACCACATCCTGTCTACATAGTAAAACTGATGGGATGTGACAATCCGAACATAATGACTCCTATGTTTAACTCAATGATACAGATGCAAGATAGTTGGGTCACCCACCTTCTCCTTCAAATCTGTGAATACCTCTCCAACTTCAACTGAACCAGATGTTTCGTCTGAAGAAGCTCTGGTTTGAAGTGAAGGAAACCTGCGATTCTCTGTTTCAAAAAAGAACCCAAAAATACAACACACCTTTAGTACTAGTATTAGGATTTTAGAGAAGCTCAGTTTCTAAAACTACAGCAAAGGATTTGAAATATTATGACATTCCGTTGGTTATGAAATAAAGCTCAGATTCTAAGACGTACTTAGCACAAATCCACAGAAAAAAAGGACAAAGCACACATTGATGCCCCTTTAGTCATGGAAAGAGATACAGTATTCATAACGTGTCAATTTAGCTACATAGATTGATCGAAATATTGTAAAACAATGATTATTCCTGAACTTTTCTGAAGGTTATGTTTGGTTTAATAGAAAATAAGAGAGAAACAGAAAGTTGGGTGAAAATTCTTAACAAAATTTGTGAAATTTGTTAAGAACTTTGCCCCAACTTTCTATTTCTTTCTCATTTTCTATCAACCAGACAACCTAAATATTTGTATTGAGATAAGGAAACAAAAAGAACAGAACAGTGGAAAAAATTGAACCGAGAAGCCAAATGCTGGCTACAGATAAAACATAGGTAAAAAAAAAGTCAGATCTCATTAATGATTGGATTGAAGCTTTTGTACAAAGCTGGAACTCCCTTTTGCTCCAGTTCCAAATGGTAAGGCTGAAGTGAAAAAAATTATAAGCCCACATTTCATAGCTTCAGGCTTGGCAATTTTAACACCATCAGTGTCCAAAGATGACGTAAACATGAAAGAAAATATTCTCAGGAAAGCCAGATGATTTTCCAAATCTACAACCAGTATGGAGGCAATGCAAAATTACATACTGACACATTCCTTTTCTCACCACAATGAACAACTACCATGGAACTTTCTGCTGAAGCTTCAATGTGATTAGTTTCCTGCTTCATTCTAGTAATAGACTGATGTATCAATCTGGGTTGGCCGGGCAAATATTTAAGATATCACGACACACCCATTTCTGAATATTGCCTCGCACTTCAAGTAAAATGTATGAAACACATATTGTGGAGTGGAATTTTAATAGAATAAAGAGCGCATTCTGAGAAAACTGGAATCACTCTAATCTATAAACTTGGATTGTGTAGCTATAGCCTTAATTAGTGTATTAATACCATGTTTTGTGTTTTGGCTTCCAAGGAAAAGCGAATGAACTTGCAGAACAGATTACAGCAAAAATTACGGTAATCACCAGCGAGAAACAAACTGAATTACTAGTCAGAATTACATCAATTCACAGAAGTTGTGGTTTAAATTTAATGCAAGATATACTACTTGTCTCGCTTGATTAATGACAACAGAGAAGAAAGAAAGAGAGAGAGAGAGAGAGAGAGAGACATTAGAATAACCTGAGACGTGCAAGAAAGAGGTCGAGAAGGAGTGAGTGGCCGGGCGAGGTGGGAGGTAAGGCAAGGAAGAGCTGCTTGAAGTTGAACACTTGGTACGGGGGAGACGAGGCCCCAGTACCGCTGCCGTCATCGAGGATGCGCCTGCGTACGCCGTCGCCATGACCTCCTAAACAAACAGCCTCTTTCTCGCGCGCTGGCTGCCTCGTTGACCTTTCTCTCCTTCTCTATTCCTTCTTCAGTTCTTCCTACTTTCTCTACTGCTGTGCTGCTTACGGAACAAAATGCTTAGTTTCTTGCAAAACTATCTTTCTTTGGTCCATCCATTTTTTTCCCTATCCAAAACTCCTACTCCTGACGCTATTTCCACCTATCGACACGTGGAATACAAGACCCTCCTGATTGGCTGCCTTCCTATCTAAAATCTACGCGTCCTTTCGGAGCCTTTAGTTTCTGCTCGGCAGCACCCACTGCAGATCTCTCTCTCTCTCTCTCTCTGAATCTCGGTCTCACCCCTCCTAAGAAAAGGGCCCTGTTGTATTATAGCACCACAGCTTATGTTTATTTGTTATATCAATTTCTTTTTGATAGATATATGCATTCCCTGCTAGATATGTGGACCAACCGTATTACCTGCCCCATCAGATGGTCATGATTATCTGATCAAACTAAAGAAGAAATAATCTTAGGTTAAGACCATTCGGAGAACCCTTTTATACAGGGAATCAGGGATAATTCGCGTCTGATTGGAATCTAACCCACTCCTTATCTTCATGCAGACGAAAACCATTGAGGATTGAGAAATCGAGGAAAACAATTATCAACCAATGCAAAGCTTGATCAATTGCATAAATAAAAATGAATGATGAAAAAAGTCATCTTCTTGGCACAGGTTGCCGCAGATGATAAATAACCATTTGCTGAGGAATTGATTCTACTACCCATGCGCTAGAGCCATGGACTCACTTCACCAGTAATCACCACATGAGCAAACCCCATTCCTGAAATGGTGAAACCGATTCGTGTCCCTGACTATGATATCACGTTCAGCAATCTTGGAGATGAGCTTGGCAGCAACATGGCAATCTCCACACACACGGAGGTTCTTTGTAATCCTGATTGGCGTCCCAGGCCCAGTATTTATAATAGCAAAAGCAATGGCCAACTTCTCACTGTGCACAACCAGGTGTCCTTCCTTATCCTCCTCCTCCACATCATGAAGGGCAGAATCAGTCTCAGGGACATAACCTGCCTCCTTCATCTTCCCCAGTAATACATCAAGCTCCGCATAAATCTCCTTGGACTGGGGATGAGAGTTGTCACCTGCAAGGAATGTGTGCACCCGATCACTGAGTTCAACATTACTGCATCCAGGCAGCTTCTTGATTCCTCTGCTTTTCATCATAGATCTAACAGTTGTGACATCATTCCATCTACCGGCCTTGGCATATATGTTTGATAACAAGACATAATACCCAGCTTGCTCAGGAACCAACTCGAAAAGCTTATCAGCGGCAATCAACCCAAGAGTCATATTTGAGTAAACTCTGCAAGCACTGAGTAATGCCCCCCATACTCTTTCATTTGGTTCCATGGGCATCTGTTTGATGAAGTCATACGCCTCGTCCACATGACCTGCACGTCCTAACAGATCAACCATGCAAGAAAAATGCTCTATCCTAGGAACCAACATATATTCCTCCGTCATTAATCTAAAGTAATACCGTCCCTCATCCAGTAGACCAGTGTGGCTGCAAGCTGAGAGAACGGACACAAATGCAATATGATCCGGGGTAAGACCGGAGTGTTGCATTTTTGTGAACAGAGCTACCGCATCCCGGCCTTGTCCATGCATGCCATAAGCTGAAATCATACTAGTCCAGGACACAACATCACGTCCCTGCATCCCATCAAACACTTCCCTTGCATCCTGTAAACACCCACATTTAGCATACATGTCAACTAATGCGTTCTCCAGGAAAAGATTTGGAGTGAGTCTCTTCCTAACAACATAATCATGTATCCTTCTCCCCTGCCCCAGAGCAGAGAGGTCCCCACATGCGGGAAGAACACTAGCAATAGTAACTGCATCAGGTTCCATTCCACTTCTTTCCATCTGTGAAAAGAGCTCCACGGCCTCTGCAGGCATAGAATTGTTTACATAAACAGCTATCATCACATTCCAAGCAACCAAACCCTTTATAGGCATCTTTCTGAACATTCCCTCTACAAATAGAACGTTGGCAGAAGAGGTATGTGTCACAGCTGGCAGAAGGCTTGCCATGGTACCTGCATCAGGTTTCAGCCTGTGCAACTCTATCTCCTTGCAAACCTCCAATGCTTCATCGAACCGCCCATTCTGTGCATATCCAGCAACCATTGAATTCCAAGAGACCACGTCTCTATGACGCATTCCATCAAGAATCCGACGAGCCTCAATTAAACAATTACCCTTCCCATACATGAAAATCAAACCGTTCCCGACGAAGAGATTCAAGTCAAGCGCAAGTTTTACACTTGTGGCGTGGATTTGCCCTCTGAGCCGCAAATCCTCTGAGCATGAACAGGCTTTAAGGACACAGGGGATAGTGTAGTTGTCAGGTTGAACTCCATGGCTTGACATGTTTATGTAAATAAGGAGAGCATCTCGGTACATGTGATTGTTGACATAGCTTCTAATCATGACATTGAAGAAGATGATATTTTTATGTGGAATTTCTTCGAATACGTGCCGTGTAAATGTGGGTTCTCCACAGGCAGCATAGGCTCTCATCAATTTGATGCCGAGAGATGGGTTCAAGCGGATATCTTGGTGGACAATGATCTTGGAATGGAGCTTCTTCAATTCTGAGATATCTAGGTATTTGTCTAAAATCCTACCAAAAATATCCTCAGCGATAGTTGTTGCGTTCACTTGAAATGGTTCAGATTTTCTGAAAGAGGACAGTAAATTCTGCTTTGTGGTCGATAGCCGGCGAGAAATAAAAATGGAGCTAGATATCGCTTTCATGAATGACGATGGGCAATTCAAACTTCAAAGGGAAAAATAGAAGGTCAATATCTCCGACATGGGTGTGCCCTCGAACCGTATAGCGACTGTAACGAACTTGTTCGTAGTTGTAGCCACATTGTTTCCATCAAACAAGAGCAGTGCTTCAACTTCGTCGTTGAAGCTGAAGGCTAAAACCCGATCTTCGAGCTTGAAAATGACCGCCAATTTAAATAAAAAGCAACGCTAGCAGTACAGGTTTTCTTTCTCTGTATTTGCATGGTGGATGCCTGGATGAGCAAACAAATCTCTTAGACCCAATTTCAGGCTTGCCGTCTGCAGCTCCATACCTCAACGATGTACATAAAAGAAGATACTTCTTCAAACATGAAACGAGAATGTAAGAAAAGATACTTAAATTACTTTTGACACGTCTAACGACTAACGTCTTAACCGAAAGTGTGCCAAATAAAAAGCCGTAACCAAACTTAAAAACATTAATTAATTAGGAAAACGGTTTGGAGCAATCTTTTGTAACAGAATATAAATAATAAAGTACATATGTTAGGGTTAGTATCATGATCAGATATTTTGATACATAAAGCATTAGAGGCCCTTGAAGATCACAGTTCCTAGCATGAATATCATCAAGAGGCCCCTCGTACATGGTATTTCTAAGCCTTTGCAAAATTGCAGGTGAAGGGAGGTGAAAGATCATTTCCAATAGGGCATTACTAGCAGGGAGTCATGTCTGCGTTCACGTTTCATCAAGGCTTTTCCGACCAATTCCTTCTCCTCAGACTTCATGGTGACACAACTTTTGCAACATGGGCCACAGTTTGTCTTTTCTGATCATTCACGCAGATACCGATGGTTTTCTTGATAGGTTCATAATAAACTGAACACAACCACGCTTGCAGGTAGAACCAGTGTTCTTGTTGGTCCACTTCCTGGTAGCAGGGTCAAAGTAGTTCTCACCCCAGAGTCTCTCCATCATCTTTACCTCATTTACGCCAAACTTGAAAGCATACATCTTAGCAAAGTTGGTAACGGTGAAAGCCCAGCCATGCAGACCCAGCAGAGAAGGTAACTGTCCCTTTCTCTGGGTGTTTCCTAGACGTCACCAAGGAGAGGGTCTTCATATGTAGCCATGATCACATTGGCATTCCCAGTAACTCTTTGGAAAGTTTAATAAGCCTCTTCTCCATCGACCTAAAGTTCAAGGAAGCACCTGTCCATCTTGTTTACAGTCAAGACATGCCTAATCCTCTCACCAAGGGTTTGGTTGATGGAAAGTTTCGGTTTGAACACATACACCCTCAGTGCAATCAAACACCACCTATGCAGCATCAGTAATGCGGAGAGCAGCAGTGACCTCAGATGATATGTCAACATCCCCAGGAGAATCAATGAGGCTGATGAGATACTCATTCCCCTGCCTTTCTCCCTTCAAGTTCTTCAGATCATCAGACATCTCATAGTACAGAGAAATTCCAGTAGATTTAATAGTAATGCTAATGCCATGTTCAGATTCCTCCTGGTGAGTATCTGTCATTCAAATGTCTCCTGCAACTTCTTGAGCAATGATAACAACTGATGCCACAAGAGAATCAGTCAGGGTAGTGGGTAGAGACTTCCCTGCCAATTGCACCAAAAAAACACATCAGGATAATACATAGACATCCAGGGGCTATAAAATTAAAATGCAAGCTCAGAAAATCCACAATAAGAACTCAGCAAGGAAAACATAAAGGACTTGTATCAAAAGGGGATCTCTGCACCTTTATTTCTTTTGGGGAAGTGCAAGTTTAAGGGCATCATCTGAAGGTTGGTACAAAGACATGAAATGATAGAAATTTCTTTAGAATTCTTCATTGGAAAATTAGTATCTAAACAAATCCAAACTAAAAATACTACCTGAACTGTCTACAAAAAGAAAGAAAGAAAGAAAGAAGATTACAACTTTCAGTGTACAAGTTCATTGCTATAAGAAACATATCAAGTCAAAAATTAACATGAAAAATCTCTTTGGGTCTATCCAATAAGGAAATTAAGAAAATCAGGTGCATCCCATGTTTAAAGCTTACTCAACCTAGTGATTCCTCCACTATCCAAAAAAAAAAAAAAAACTAGTGATTCCTTGACAGATATACTGCACCAGTAAAAGTTTTTCCCAGATTGTGTAGCAAACTAAAATTATTTATTAGAAATACAGTGGAAACTCAAAAACTAGTTGGTTATTGGTTAACATTAGCTGTTTCCAAGAACATGAATCACGCAGCAGGGCACTTGGAATCTCCAACTACAATTAGTACTCTTTTAAAACCACATTTTCTCTTCGTAAGGAGCCATTATGCAAGCCCCACCTGACAAGCATGCAATATTGTTGTTCCACAGGACCATCAAGCAATGATGCTCTACATTTAACTGCCTTCATCCTGAAACAAAGCCTTGGACACTGACCCACTGGAGTTAACCACATCCCCAGTGCTCCCTCGTGTGCATGATAGTTTCTTCCCTGTCATTGGAGTCTCACACACCACATCGTAGCTGTCCCCTCGCTGTTCTTTCTTTCTCTTTGAAAGTTTCCTTAGATACTCTGCCTTCACCATAGCCTTTGGCTGCCTTGGCGCCCACACTCTTTGCAAATCTGGCACCCAGCTGGTGAAAGAGGAAAACCTCCGAGCCCTCTCTCTCCTCTCTTGAGCTTCCATTAGCCGTTGGTGCACATGCTCCTCCTCTCTAACTGCTACTAATCTTTTATTTTGATTTTCCGGTGGGTGGAGATGCTCATCCCTTGATGAGGTAGATTCACTGCATACTCTGGAGTTCGCATTAACCTCATTCTTTTCCAGTGTGATTCTCCTGGATTGATCACTGTCCTCACTGTTGAATAGAGACCCGGGGGCTTCATCATCCTCATCATCAAACAGCAATAAGTCCATCCGGGTGTAGATTCTTTGAACCACATCTCCTAAAGAATCAGAATACCTGTAATTGTAAGTAATTAAACAAGATTTAGACCAACTCCTTTGAATAGGTATCATCTAGTATTTCTCTTGAGCAGTGGTCAAGTAGTAGACAATGATAAAGCACATTTAGTCATTTAGCTAGAAGATGGGCAAAATGATTGCCACATCAATGAATATGAATTATGAAGCAATGGCAAACTAGAGTAGTGATAGGAGGCCTGCAGGCAGCAATCATTAAAGGGGAAATTTATAACTGATACCTTTTACCCAACAAAGAGGCATCGGATAAGGTGCATAGCTACTTAATATACAAGTGAGACATGCATTGCACGTGATATTAATAGCGAACAGAAAAGATTACAGGTGTGCTTTACTTTTTTTTTTTTTTTGCACGCTTTAAAGCTGAAGTGGGGTATCCACTTTAAGTAGTAATAGAAACAATGTGCCATGCCTAGGAATTGAACCCAAAGAGAACATATTTTATCTCAGTAAGATCATTATAGAACAAAATGTATTCCCACAAGTACATGACAACCAACAAAGATGAATCCATCCATGCATTGTAAACTTCATAGAGGGAAAGTAGCAGGTAGGCACTGCAAACAAGTGTGTCCTTAAACCTAAGCTGTTTCAGTTCTCTTAGTATTGATCCTTCATCTATCTATACTATATAAAGCAGATGCTTTACCTTGATGTCTGTGCAAAACATAAAAGTTAAATCACAGTATTTGCATTCTTATAAGTTGTTTGTTTTTACCCTTTAATCTTGCTCATGTGCATAGCATGTGCTCTTACACTAGTTATCTAAAAGGGCAAGATATAAGATCAAGGAATTACAGTGAAAACAATATCAATTTCTGAGAACTCAAGAAATCATTCAACACCTGGTCCTCAATATCAATTACTGGCCTGACCCTTGAGTTCACAAAACAAACCTACTTTGAATCAAGGATTCAAATATCGACACGATATGCCCGATACGGGGCGTATCGTATCAGTATCATTCATGGGAGATACAGGAAATGCTACAAATAGGTATGTATCCCCTGAATCGTCCGTATCGAAGCGACACACATCCATACCGGACCATATCATATTCTATCAGACGATACGTGCCAACACGGACCGATACACACGTGATTTGTGTTTCACAATTCCGTGTCTAATTTAAAAAAAAAAATGCGGCTGAAGCGATTTGAACCCAAATCACCCAGCGCATAAGACTTGAAAATGTATGTTTGCCACTAAGACAACCGTTAACTTTTGTTAGTAAATGAAATAAAATTCTTTTTTATTTAATGTCTACATGTAGTCTTAGCAAATAACATATATTTATGTTCACCAATTTTAAGTAAAGATTAAATAATATTATTCAAAATTAATATTTTGTAAACTAATGGAGTAAATAATTTCTCAAATCCACATTTACATCAAAAAGTAGTTTTTAATCTCAAAAAATTATACAAATAAAAATATTAATAATAGAATAATAATTTTAGTACTTAAAATTTATAAATTTGAATGCGATATGTATCTTAAATTTTTTATAAATTATTAATTAATATTTTAATTTGCATTAAATAAAAACATATTTATTATTTACAAAAATGATTATTTATTTCATAAAATTATAAAATAAAAATACTAATAATTAAATAACAATTTTAGTAATTAAACATTATGAATTTTCATACAATATGTATCTTAGAAATTTTAGTATCTTTGAGATAGTTTAAGTTAAGATTATATTTTTTATAAATTATTAATTGATATTTTAATTTCATTTTATAATAACATTTTTATTGTTTACAAAAATAAAAATTTTGTTTACCAAACATTTGAGAATTAATTTTTAGTTGATTACTTTGTTAATGTTAAAATGTAAAAATAGAAAAAAAAAATTGATATAATAATTACATATAATAGTTGCATGTGTTTTGTGACATGAACTTCAATAGAAAATAAATAATAGCTTTGTACATGTATTAATTTGTGAAAATTTATATAATATGTTTTAAGACTCTAGATTAATACATTAGCAATAAAAATTGTATGGTTTCTATGCATCCCGCTATATTAATTGTAATATATTTATTCACAGATACCATTAGAATATACATTTCCTATGTATTTATACATTAATTTGACTATATAAACCTTAAATGTAATGTTATTAATATATTTATGGAATTTATATGCATTTCCCAGCGTATCCAAGCGTCTCCATGTTTTTTCGTCCGTATCCATGCGTTTCCAAAACGTATCTGTATCCAAGTGGTCCAATACGATACCCAATACCGATACTTTAATCCTTGCTTTTGAGTGAGTATTAATCCCTTAATATCTAAAAAGGCATGATATAAGATCAAAAAAGTACAATGAAAACAATAACATTTTCTTAGAATCAAGAAATCATTCACCACCCAATCCTCATTATTGATTACTATCCTGTACCCTTGAATTCCCAAAACAAATCTACTTTGATTCCATTTTCTTCCTTTGCTTTTCTTTCCTTTTCTCCTTTTTGAGGGGTGAGGGTGGATAGAGGGGATGAATTCATGCTTCTTACCTCTTATACCATAAAGGAAGCAGTTTTACCCCCAAATATTCTTGAAGTTTAAGATGATGCAATAAGTACTCAAAAAGAAGCATTTCAATCACATCAACATATAGACAACAGTTATAGCCTAGCACTGGTTTCCCCATAAATAATGAGATAAGAAGCATCAGGCAGCAATACATTTTATAGGTTCAAGGTCTGAAGGTTGAAAAGAACCATTCTTGATAATAATGAAATGAAATATTTCTAAATGAGCAGAGATACGGGTTTCATGATGGTTTATTAGCTGATTACAAAATAAATTCTTTGTTTTCCAGTTTTTTAAATGTTTTATCTTGGAAAGTCAGCAAAGCATATTGGAGACCTACCAGTCTACCACCAATCTGAGTTCACAATCCCCCCTCACCCACTATAAACTGAACAGTAATTATACTTGTCTCATCAAAAAGAATAGCTTTCATAGCATGTTACTCTAAAGTGACTGGTTATTTGGCTGATAAGTAATGAGGAAAATAAAATGTAGGAAAACATAAGAAAATCTCTTTTCAGACAGAAGACAACCAAATTCAAGCATTAAGAACAAACTGTGTGAAAGTCACCTCATACCTAAACGAAGCCAAGGTCTCAAACAATGGTAGATAATAGTTTTTCTCTCTTTCTTCTTTAATTTTTTTATGTGGGGGAGCAGGGAAGAAATGGTATATGTAATTAGCCATTATCAATTTGGGTGTATAAACCATAGATATATACCTGTTCTTAATGGTCCTTCCAGCGTACATACCAAGGCTAACATCACCAAAAAAGCCCCCTGCTAAATGGTATTGGATGATATCTAAAAGTGAGCAAATCTGCTTTACCATCTTTTGCTTTATTGTCTCTTCAACACCTACTTTCACCTTTGAGCGGAGTATCTCCATCCGAAACAGAATTTGCAACTCATACCTTTTAAACATCAAGGAAAATGTTATGCAAATTATAATTGAGAAGTAACTCTTTACCTTTAGTACTTCAGTTCGGCTGATGAAAATACAAAGATGTCCAAATTTATAGATGTAAGCATGCAGGAAAACATACACATGCACGTATGCATAGAGAGGGAAAGAAAGTGAAAAGGATACTCTCTAATTATATTCTCCGAAGTGTACAATGCAGAACTTGGATCGGATGATGGATTATGGCCTTTATACTTAGCTGTCAAATCCTTAGGCTCCTTAAGGAGAAGCTTAATTAGTTCAGCAGCAACTGTTCCAGCACATGTACCATCCATATGCTCCTCGTGGGTCAGATTCTTGTTCTCTAATTCATGCTTCCAATACAGCCAACGGATGCATGACTCAACAAGCCGCTCTGCTAAAGCACCCAAATCTACATCAGCAGATTCAAGACCATGCTGAATCTTCTGAGGAATACTTCCAAAGAAAGATTCCAAATTTTCTAAGGAATAAATAGGATCAACATCTTCCCTCACTCCAGAATCTCCGGATAATAAAGTCTCTCCATTTGAGTGGGAGGACAAAACGGGCTGGTCACATTCTTCTTGCTGTGACCCAACAAATTTTCCTTCCATTTCTTTTTGAATATGACTGTCTGTCTTCAGCACATTTCGTTCAATTTGACAGCAACTAGATTTCTTTACTTGTTTCATCCAGCACCTCAAGAATCTTAACTTCTTTGAGGTATCAAGTTTCCGGGCAAAATACACTTCTTCCAGATCCACCTCAAAGTGATTAAGGACCGCCTGATAAAAGGAACTCCATGTGAAATCTTGAAGTGATTTTAGATGTTTTCTGTTCCTTTTCCTTTTAGCATCATCCGTTGCTGATGATATCTTGTAAGACAAAGCCCCAGGTTGAGAAGCAGTTGGCCCATTTGAATGGTTTAAATTGGCAATATCATTAGATACATCACTTTCTGTCCTTGCGGCAGACCCAAGCAAACTAAAAGAAGATTGATTGGAGTGATGAACTGAATCACAAAAGGAATATCCACTATTCACAATGGAAAGGATAGCTGTGTGAATTGTTAATGGCTTTAAGATTCCCATAAAGGAATCCCCCCCATCCTTTGCAACAGACACCAGAGCCCAGTAGCCTCCCCTGGAGAGGAAATTAAGAAGCAGCTGCCAGATAGGTATGGATTTTACTGACATGAACCCATCCGTTTCCATCCATAACATTTCTAGAACCTTGTCTGCAAACAAGTCATCTGAACTTTCTTTCTTTTGACCTTTCCCATGTTCCTCTGAGAGCGCATGTACCAGAATAGAATCATTGAACTGGTGATCAATCTTAATGCTTTCGTCATTCCTCCTTTGGACTTCTTTTACACGGATATTCAAGATTCCATCACCAATGTCTCCCCAAAACGTTTTCCCTCGATGACAACGTCCAGCAACTGAATTCGCAGGTTCCAACGCATGCAAAACATCATCAGATCTCTGCAGACATGGTAGTTTAAAATCAAACAATTCTAGATCACAGCCCTTACATTCTAAGGGCTTCTCATTCACATCCAAGATCTCAAGATTTAATTCTGCATGAGCAATCTTGGGGCAATTGGTAAGATTATAACCTATCGAAGGGCAAACGATGTTCGGATAAATCAACCCAAAGGGAATTAGAGCAGAACCCACAATAATCGCATCCGTTGAACAGAAGCCCCAACCCAACCTCTTAATCCCTTTCCCAAGAAACATTTTCCCCAAGACAAGCTCCTCTCTTTCAACGCTTTCCCCACCGTAATCTTGTTCATGAATGACATCGATCCAACTGAAGTGTATATCCCTATCGACAAATCCTTCGCTAACACTGCCAAACAATTGAAAGAATTTCTCGGAGAAAACATCTACGGTTACCAGAGATTCATCGTCTATTTTCACATCCACGAACTCGGATAAACATTTTAGAGATCTAGATGCCGGTGAAAAGAGGAGAATCAAGTTGGAACGCACAGTGGGTAACTCTGTTGACTTACCTATCAAATCTTGAATCCGAGGCTCCCAGGCATAATCGTGAATGAGCTGAAGCAACGAACTGGAGGTAAGAGACGCTCGAGGTGGTGAAATTAAGGTTCCGGAGAGAGCGGGGAGGGAATTTAGGGTTTCAGAAAGCGAAAGCAGAGTTTGCGAGGGGCGGTCAAAGGAGAAAGAAGAAACAGCAGACTTGCCAAGGAGGCGGTGGAGTTTGGAAGAGGAGAGGAGTGGAGAAAGAGAGGAGAAGAAGAGCTTGAATGCGAAGAGGGAGGAGGAGAGTGGAGGGAAAGTGAGGAAGGTTCGAGCAGAGTCGATGACAGAAGTGATGTAATGCTTAGGGTTTTGCAAGTGGAGGAGGGGATGGAGGTCAATAAGGAAAACGATCCTTTGAGTTTGTGAGAAATCAAGAGCTCCTCCCATGATAGAGAGGAAGAGAGAAGGGGGGGAGTAATGTTGGTTATAGAAAATTGAAGGTAGTGAAAGATTGGTGCAGGGAGACAGATATTACTTGCTAATATCACGGGATGGAGCTCCGGGCTCAGCGATTAACCAACGGTGGCGACTTCTCGCCGTCTGGTGCGTTTAGATCGTCAGTTGCCGTACAGGTGCCTGTGATCTGCTACCATACTTGCCTAGACGATGCTCGAGAGATTTCGAACTTCAACTCCGAACCTTGTTTGCAGGCAAAAAAAAATAATAAAAATAATAATTAATTAATTGATAGCGGGAACTGGAAAGGAAGAAATGGCGGGAAGTAAATTACGAAATAGAAGCGAATGCGGGGATAGGGTAAGATCGGTGTGAGGAGCGCTCTGTGAGGAGCAGATCCCAATTCAGATAAAGACTAAAGAGGGTTTGCCGCAGAGACCAGATCTGCTCCTCACAATTGGCGCCTCACACGCACATCCTATCATGCATTGGAAACACGGTGGATGTGCCTGTGAGGCGCCCATTTGTGAGGAGCAGATCCTATCACCACGGGTTCTGCTGTTTCTTTTGACACCTAACCTATACTATATGAGTTAAGTTCCGATTTGTTGACCACACCACATTGCTAGCTACACTCATCCAACTGTGTATTGAAAATATCGATGACCACAACTCAACCGATGTTCCATATGTGTGGCTGGGTAAACGTGGCCAGACCACAAATCCGGACTCGACCTATATCGCCTGGGTTGACCTAAAAGCCCCTAATGAGTGAAATGCGGAGACCTACATCAAATATTCGTTGTCCCCACTCCCCCGAGAGTTCATCATCAGGAGATGTTCCAAATACAAGGCAGGGATGCATTGTGGGATGTTGTGGGGCGCCCCCTCATGGGGCACAGATTTGAACTCCTCCCTTTGAGAGTTGGGGCCGGGGATGGGCGGATATCAGTTTGGCTGTTTGGAAAAAATAGCCGAGGGAGCCTCTACGCATCATTTACTTCATTGAGGTTCTCTTTTGTCTTTTCAATTAAAGGATAAAATACAAAAACCTCTTGAAGTTTCTCACAATCGTAAACACCTTTTTAGTTTCACTTTAGCAAAAACATCTCCGGGATTTTAAAATAAATTAACAAAAACCTCTCTTTCGTCAATCACAAACGTTAACCAAAGAATCAAGGGGTTTTAACTGTTCAGTCCACCCCTAAAAAACTTAGCTCCACCCTAGGGGTAGAATGAATCCTGACCGTGGATTGATGCCAAATCCACTTGTAGGATGCAGTTTATAGGGGGGGCTACTAGTAGACTAGGAGGTGGCTATAATTTCAAATTTCTGAGGGGGAGTACAGCCTACTAATCCCAAGAATAATTCAATTTTTTTCAAATGGCTATTTTACTCTTTTGCAAATTAATTTGCATTTATTTTTACTAAAATACCCCTATCTACCACTTTACCCTCTTTTCCTATCCCACTTTATCCAATCTTAAGAGGAGGAATGCAGCAACAAGGGTTTTGGAAGAACGCAGCACAAGCCTCTTTATCCTCCTTTACATTCCCATTTTTTTCTTTGTGGATTTCTTCTTCGGGAAAGTGTGATTCAGCATAGTGATGGGGTCCATGGTTTTCAAAACCAGACTGGACCGGGCAGTCGGACCGGAAAAACCAAGAACCGGTCAGGTGACCGGTTTCGTTTTCCCCAAAAAACTGTTGATTTTGGTCAGCAAACTGTTGAACCGGGCGGTTAACTGTTCAAATGATTTTGACCTTTTTTTATTTTTTAAATTTTCTTTTTATTTTTTTGTCAAAACAGGCCAAGCGTTCGGTTCAAATGGTCAGACCGTTCAACTCGATAACTGGACCCCTGACCAGTTCGGTCTCTGGGTCGATTTTAAAAACCATGATGGGGTCATCACGAAAATCCCACTGACAGATGGATGACCATGATTTAGGCACAAAATTCAATCTCTCATTCAATTATATTTATAGTAAACCATTGGAAATACTTGCTATAAGACCGGATCCCCCAAGTAGTCAGTGATAAATTGCAGTTGGAATTCTTAATTTCTTTTAGATAATATTCATATGTTTTTGTTGGGATATGTTTGTATCATTTGCCAGTTGAATGTAATTTGGATTTTCAAGGTGGTCGTTTATCTCTGTTCTACTTGAAGAAGGAAAGCTAGCTATTCTTGGTTATACTTAAACTTCACAAGTTCCAATAATGTGCTTCAAGAAAGTGGTTTAGGATTGAAATACTCCCCGCACCTATCACAATTGTAAACATAAACACAAGAATTATTTAGTCATTCAAACTTGAATTATCTTCGGATTTGTGTTATGAGTTGCTTTATTTGGTCATTCAAACTAGAGAGTTTGGTCCTTTAAACAACTCATATTTGCTTTGCTTGTAAATAATTAAAACGAAAACATAGTAAGAGAAACTATAAGAGTCAATTAATCAAAAGGTACAATCAACATAATTGGCTTCAGGCATCAATCATCACCACTTTGTAAATCTGATGGCCTCAGTATGCTCTTTTATACACATCTTATTTAGAGAGGTCAGTTCTTTCTATAGGGGCATTACTCAAAAGTTTCTAAATCCCCTTCCCCCAAAGTGTCTTTTGCCTATTAACACACTTCAATTCCATTTAATGAAAATAATGCTTCTAACCACACATTTTTTTTAATCAACGTTGATAATCACACTTCCAATCTATGCGATTCTTTCACCCTAAATAAAGGAAATATTTGTTCGACTAAGGAAGAGTATTCACTCTTTTGCTCTGATCCACATCATGCATATATTATTAAAAATGATGCTTAGAGCAACAACTTCTATTAGGAGTTATGGTCATAAAGTTACAGTCTCACAAGAATTCAACAGCTAGCTGAATTAAGGATAAAAAAGGAGCCTCATACTCATACGAAATCAACAAAAAAACTTCACACACATGGCGGCTAGGGTGGAAAGATGTTCAACAAAGAAGCATTCCATGCTCCACAAGCACATTAGAACTGTAATTATCAGCATGGCGGTTTGCTTTCTTTAGTCAATGGAGTTTCAACAAAGAAAAAATGGAAATGGAAAGGAGGATAAAGAGGTGCATGAGGCGTTCCTCCTGTGTTTCTCCTCTTCAGACTGGATAAAGTGGGATAGGAAATAGGAAAAAACGGTAAAGGAGTCGACAAGGGTATTTTAATAAAAATAGATGCAAACTATTTTGCAAAAGGGTAAAATATGCATTTGAAAAAATTTGATTCTTTGGTTCAACATTTTCCGTCTTGGTGATTTATAGAATGGAGGTTTTTGTTATTTTATTTAAAAATTTAGGGGAGGTTTTTGCTAAAGTGAAACTACAGGGGAGGTTTTTGTATTTTACCCTTAAAAGAATGTTGAGTGTAAATATTGTTTTATCCACACATGATTAGTTGTCATTTTAAGCAACTACCAAAACAGCCTAGGCTATTTTTTTCAAAATAACCAAAGTTTTTCCTGGGGTATGGTCAACGAATTGGGATATGCTCTGGCTCTTTATAGAACGCTCCTCACAACCACATCCCACCTTGTATTGGGACCTATGAATAATAAATACCTAATGTGTGACCAGAACATGGTGTGAGGACGATGTGAGAAGCAATCTATGAGGAATAGAGTCTAATTCATGGTTAAGCAATAGTGTTGCATTGAAACAAGAAAATCAAAGCCTTTGATTTATTAATGTGACCCCACCTTGAATTAAATGAATTTGACAATTTGATGAAGCCATAGATATAAATCAATCAAGTCTCGATATGCTCACCACACCAACCAACTTAGCCCCATTGTTTACCCCTGGTGGGTGTCGAATCCAACCAAAAATAAAAATCCTACTCAAATTAAATATTTTTGTATATAGTGATGAGCAAGGTCGTCTCCTCAAGGATTGGGTTGATTTATTTCCAAGAGAACGAAGTAGAGGATTGTTATAAAGATAAGGAAAATAAAATAAAATAAAGGTAAATTCGATAGAAGGCAGCATCCGGTTGAAGGGATAAGTTCAGCCTTGATTCTTACAATTGATCATCAATGCAAGGATGAATTCAAGTGCTTATGAGTAAATTGGTTATAGCTACTAACAAGCTCTAATAGCCAATCTCTACTTGTATTTTCGGCAATCAAAACAAGCTCTTTAATTGCTTCTCTTATTAATAGACAACCCTAAACAAGCTCTTAGGGTTTAATCTATTAACAATATTAAGAATTGGAGTGACCCAATTATGGTCAACGAACACACAAGCTCGGTTCGTTTAAACCAGATTATATATCTTCATAACATGAACCGAAAACTTGTCCATAATCGATTTATGTTATTTGCCACAAAGATTAAATCTAATAAACATATACGAATTTGATGATCTAATCGGCAATAGGTTATTTTATTGATTGAACAATGTATCCTGTTGCTCAATCAATAAAATAATCTTAAACAATAAATCGCAGAAAATATATAAATACTCATAAAAAATGAACTGAAATAAAATCAATTAGATCTCACAATTTTGTAGAACCAAAGCTTCCTTAACCTTCAACCAGAAAATAAAATCTAATCGAACTTCATGGGGAGATCACAGCTTCCAGATGGAGAGGAAGAATTCTGCTTCCTTCCTTCACTTCTTCTCTCCTTGATTGAGTGATTTCGACTGCTAGTCTCCCCCCCCCCCTTTATATAGCCTTAGAGGGAGGGGCTGTTTCCAACACCTCTTAGGAGTTTTTTCTCAAAAATAGAAAGTCCAATTTCCTAATGGGATAATGCTTAATTCAGATCTAATCTTATCCTTATCTCTAAATARAAWTTCTTAACTAAGATGGACTTTGACTTTCTTTCTTTTTAGAAGTACAGCAAGAAATAGACTATATTAAAACTCTTGGTGACTCACGCCTCCAACTCAATCGAATCCTACTAGGATTGATGGGGCCCACTTCTTGCATGTTGAAATCGTGCTGGTCTTCTCCCATCGTGCTGGGGCTATGCTACAAGCTCTTTTCAGCTTTCTTTCCAAATTGTGATTTTCAAAATAAAACACAATAAAATCCATTAATTAACTTACTAATTAAATAAGAAAAAATACAAATAATATGGAAATTACGCACACTACCAAGGAAATGGTAAAAATATTTACCTTATTTACTTAAACTTGAATTTAGGACTAGCTCAAAAGGAAATGGCTTCAGATAAGTCGTGTATTCCCTAATCGCACCTCATTACTAGGCTCACAAGAATTTTCCTA